ATGCAATGTGTGAATACAAACTGTTGTTTGTGAAATGGTACACATTGCCTAAATGCTCTCAGCTGGTTTCTTCAGAGACAATAAGAATACCACCATCCTTCAGGGTTACTGAGACTTGATCAAAATAATGTCTATAATGTACCCAACATCCCACCTGGCATACACTAGGCATTCAATAAATCCTAAAGGACTGAAAGCCATGGGGGAAACAGAGTAGAACAAGACAGTGAGTACACCATACTAAATAGTGAAAGTTGCAAGCTTTTCTTCTAAGATCAAGAACAAGACAAGGATGCCTGCTTTTACAACTTCTATTCAATATATTACTAGAGGATCTAGTTGAGCAATTAGGCAACAAAGAAAAAAAAGCATTCAAATTGGAAAAGGTAAATTATTTTCTTCCATTTACAGATGACATAATTTTAAATATGGAAAACTTTAAAGATTCCATGAAAAATTGTCAAAGCTAACAAATTCAGCAAAGTTGCAGGATGCAAAATAAACACACAAAAATCAGTTGTATACCCATAAGCTAGATCTGAAAAAGAAAAATTTGAAAATAACTCCATTAAGACAGTGTCAAAAATACTTGGGAATAAACTTAACCAAGTGGGCTAACTACTTATATGCTAAAAACTGTAAAATTTTGCTCAAAAAATTAAAGATGACACAAATAAGTGGAAAGACATCCTTTGTTCATGGGTTGGAAGAAATTACTGTTGATATGTAAATGTTACCCAAAGAAATTTACAGATTCAATGCAATAGCTATCAAAATCCCATGGTTTTTACAGAAATAGAAAAATTTATTGCCAAATTCTTAAGGGATCCTAACTAGCCAAAACACTCTTGAAAACAAAAAGGAATAAACTTAGAAGACTCATACTTTCTGATGTCAAAACTTACTATAAAGTTATGGTAATCAAAACAGTGTGGTACTAGCTTAAGGATAAACATAAAAAACAATGGAATAAAACACAGACCTAAAGGTATACCCTCACATGTATGGTCAGTTGAATTTCAAAAGAACCTGAGACATTCATGAGGACAGAGGTTTCAACAAATGCTGCCAGGAAAACTGTATATCTATATGTAAAAGGATGAAATTGGACCCTTACCTTACACTATACACAGAACAACAAAACAAGCATCGATGTGAAGCTAGAGGAAAGCGAAAAAAAAGGTAATGAGAACATATGAACAATTAAGAAAGGTTACAAGAAGGGGCAAATGGTAACAAAACTAAAACATATATAAAATAGTTTTAAAAAAGCATCATTTGAGCTGATAAACAATCACTAATAATAAATATAAAATGGAAAATAAAAAATGAACAAAGAGGGCCGGGAATTTAGCTCAGTGGTTTCACCACCTGCCTTGTAAGTGCAGGGACCCAAGTTCGATCCCCGGTACCAAAAAAAAAAAAGAACAAAAACATGTGAAACAAGAACCACTGAACTTAAAGAAACTAAATCAAAAGGAAAATATTTAGAAATAAGGATTATATTTTTAAGTTGCAAAAGGAGATATGAATAGTTGAACGTACATCAAGAAGTACAAAGGAAATAAAAATTGCAGAAAATTAAGTAGAAATTAACCAAAGATCAGAGAGAGTGACACACAGAGAAGAAAAACAAGATCTAATGTTCCTATTATTGTAGCCCCTGAAGAAGAAAAATAAAACCAGTATTTAAAATTACGATAGCTCAAGAAAACACTGGAGAAATAAAAGCAATCCTGAATCTCCATGTTGAATTGGAACTTGGTGAACTTTGAAAAAAAAAACAAAAACAAAAACAAAAAACTACAGAAGTCAAGATATAAGCTTGCAAAACTATTGAATATAAAAGGAAAAAAACCTACTGGACTTCCAGTTAAAGAGCAAGTCTCTCATAAGGGAAAGGTTGGTTTCAAACTTCTTGACAAATACACAAAACAAGAAAAAAAAAAGTATTTTCAAAAAACACTAAGAAAATGTAATTAAGGACTTGGGATTTAGCTCAGTGGCACCACACCTGCCTGGCAAGGACAAGGTCCCAAGTTCAATTTCTGGTACAAAAAAAAGAAGAAAAAAAATTAAATAATTTTGTATCCAGCTATACTTTCCCTAGAGAATCCAACAGAAGACATTTTAAACATGCAAGAAATGAGGGAATATTGCACTTACAGACCCTTCTGAGGAATTTTGTAGGAAACAACTTCTGCAGGAGAAATGTTGGCAGGATAGTGTTGAGCACTGGTAACAGTAATAAATTCATGATTAAACAAAACCAAGGATGAGGATGGAATAGTTTGGCAATATCACATGATCTGATAAAGTGGAAATAACAGCTGAAAAAGACAGAAGGGATAGAGGAAGAAGCAGAACAACCTCATTGAGGCAGAGATAGGAGTCAGAGTGTTGATGCGGGTGACAATCTAAGCCTAAATAAGGTAAAAAAGGAACTTTGGGTTTTATATGAAGGATTAATGCTTTCCCAAAAAATATTAGTTATTAAATGAAAATGAATAATTTTACAGCAAGGAAACTTGGAATATATCACTTCATATCAAGGAACATGACCAGGAGCAGATTCAATGGAACAACTCTGATTTCATCTGACAGGATGCAAGGAAATGAAGCTTTACTTAACACTGACAAACTGTTCCTCACTGAAGAAGCTAGACTTGACAATCAAACTCAACATGTTTCCAGATTGAATTTTTTTATTTTAAAAAAAGGAGGGGAGCCAGTCCTGGTGTTGCATGTCTGTGATCTCAGCACTTTGAGAAGCTGAGGCAGGATTGAAAATTCAGGCCCAGCCTAGACAATTTAGCCACTTAGTAAGAACCTGTCTCAAGATTTAAAAAAATAAAACAGGGCAGAGAGTTGAGGTGTAACTTAGTGAGAAGGCACTGGGTTCAATCTCTGGTACTACAAAAAAAAAAGAATAAAGGTCATTTGAAAAACAAGTGGAAACTCTGAATGGGATCTGAGGAATAGATAGCAGTAATGTTATCTTTCTGAATGTGATTGCTGTCTGTGGTTATATGAAAATGCCTTTGTTTGTAGACGCTGCAAATATAAAAACATATAAGGGATATAGGGCACCATCCTATCAGCATCTTACTCTCAAAAGCATTCAGGAAAAAACAAAAAAACTTCAACTCTTTTTATATACGCGAACAAATTCCACATAGGTCAGACACATGTAAAAAGTATATGAAGCAAATGACATAATGGGAGACTACTATTTGCAAATATGTCAAAAAGTTAATCTCCCCTAAAATAAAACAAATGCTTAGGAAATACAGCAACCACTCATTAGGAAAACTGACCAAAAGTCACATATAATTCACAGAAAAATACAAATGATTTTACATATATGAAAAAACAGGAAAAATGCTTTATCCATTAGTGCTAGGTTATCTTTAAAATGCTAGACATATGGTTTTAAAATTACAATCGTTTTTACTAACATAAAAATAAGAATACTGGGTAGAATTTTAGATTTCCTCCAAGTTCCTATCCTTATGAATATCTACCAGTAATGTAGAGTAATATATTCAAAAGTCACTTGAAGCCGGGCGTGGTGGTGCATGCCTGTAATCCCAGCACTTGGGAGGCTGAGGCAGGAGGATCGCTGTGAGTTCGAGACTAGCCTGAGCTACATAGTGAGTTCCAGGTCAGTCTCACTACATAGTGAGTCCCTGTCTCAAAAAAAAAAAAAAAAGAAAAGTCACTTGAAGTAATTTGTTTACATCACTAGTTTAATTTGTAACTGAGATTTTTTTTTCAATTTTAGGATTTGCTTATTCCTTCCTTTCAGATTTAATGCATGTTTAAATAGGTAAAACAGTTCAAAATTCAAACTTACATAAAAATAAATGTAGAAGTCTTGCTTTTATTTTTTCCTTCCTGTTTCTTTCCACTACTCCATCCTAACCACTGTAAATATTTTTGTTTCTAGTTTACATTTCCACTTTCTTTTTGCAAATGTATGCAATGGTATATGTACATGTGTAAATGTATTTCCTTTTCTTAGGAAATGATATATATATACTGTTCTACACTTTTTAAAAAATTAAACAATGAAACCTGGAGATTACTAGAAATATACTCACTTTGTGTTCATGGCTGCATTATACTCCATGGCACGGATTTTATTAAAATATTAAAATAATTCTCTATTTTAAAAATTATTGGGCCGGAGATTTAGTTCAGCGGTTCGGTGGCAGGCCCTGCAAGCGCAAGGACCCAAGTTCAATCCCCGGTATCAAAAAAAAAAAAAAAAAAAAAAAAAAAAAAAAAAAAAAAAAAAAAAAAATTATGCAAGTACTCAAATAATCAAAGTGATTATTCACTTGTTCACCCATGGTTGATCATTAATGGCATTCTGCCAATTCCATTTTATTGCAGTTCCCTTTTTGTTAGAATATATTAAAACAGAGTTGAGACATGTGATTTTACCTAAATAGTTCAATGCGTACAAAAGGATATTTTACATTCCTAGAAATAACTCGAGTAGCACTGTACATTGAAAATGATTTATTCTGATTCATGGTTTCAGTCCACTGTCAGGTGGCTTCAAGACAGAAACTTCTGAGGAAGGGAATGGATGGTGGACACAGCTACTTACATTATGGCAGCTGGGAAACACAGAGGGCAAGTAAGGAGAGGAGGAGATGGACAGTGAGTGAGTCCAAAGGCTAGTGACACAATATATCCTTCCAAGCGACACTCCCAAAGACCACCCTCCAACCAGGCCCCACCCCCCTAACAGTACAGCTATGACTCACCAATGGATAAGTCACTGATGAAGTAGTGTCCCCATTGTCTGCTACCTTCCAAAAGCCCCACCTCTGAATAGATGAGCCTTCTAGGGGACATTTTTCTAAACCATAATAGTATATCAGATACTTGGGGAGGCTGAGGCAGGAAGATCACAAGTTCAAGGCCAGCCTCAGCAACTTAGCAAGACCTTGTCTCAAAATAAAAATTAAAAATGGGCTGGGGATGTAGCTCAGTAGCAGTGCAAGTACATGGCCTCGGGTTCAATCCCCAGTACTGCAATAAATAAATTAAAACCTGACTTTCTGTGCTCACAAAGACTAGACATACCACAGTCCTGTATGCTTTCTCACCAATTACATAGAAGGAAAAAAAACAAGAGCTCTTCATCTTTTTAACTCAAGATTACCCATGCTGCTTCTCACCTACCCCCAGCAAGCTCTACTCCTCTTGGCCAGACATTTTCTTCTCTGTAGTGACGGCAAGATCTGCCTCTGGAGAAACAGTTCACCTCAATGCTGGTACTCACTGATGCTGGCCTTCCAACAGCCAGCAAAGGCACAATGAAGTACTGGCTACAACATAAGCTCTTGAACCAGGAGCCTAAGAAAAACTTAGCAACATTATTAACTGTATCTGCTGAGTCTTTTAGCCCACTATGCCCATTTTAAATATTTTTGGAGTTTTTAAAAAAATACATATAAGAGGAATTATTTATCAACAATCTTTAGGAAACGAAATGCCAAAAATTTGGTGCAATATAAAAGCCCATTTACTGAGAAAAAAAATGACAACTGGATCTCTTTTTTTCCAAAAGAAACATTCAAAGTAAAATATGAAAATTTAATTACCTTTAAATAATACATGAAATAATTTACATGCTATATGTTCCAAAACATGAACATGAATCCAATTTTATAAAGCAAACACAATCCACTTTTTGCCAACATATACCCTATAGGACCTCAGGATCTCATTTGATTTCTCAGTCCGTATGTGAGCACATACATATATATACATCTAAAGGTGAAGATTATGACCAAAAAAACAAAGGTTAAATGTAAGAAGTATGACATGGATAATTCCAAATCCACAATCTGACTAGAACCAAGATACAAAAGCTTACTTTTGTGGCCACAGACATTAAATCCCTTTCCAAGTGCTTAAATATGGAAATAGGATTGGTTAATCCCACACTACATTTTATGGTAAATTTTCCTTGTTGTTTAAAAAGAAATACTTATTATATACGGTATTACAGAAATGTACTGGAAAAATAAACAGGATCGGATAAGATTTCATACAATAAAGCATTTTTCATTTGAAAAGTTGTATATATTCACATCTAGCAGATGCAGGTATAATAAAGAGATGCATGAGGGATCCACCCATATTACTTACATTTTAATTTTAAAGCCATCTGGGTAATACTGCCAAATACAGTGGACTTTCTGTTAAAGATATGTACTAGTATACAGAGTAAATAGTTAATATGACAAAATGAAATTCTCCCCCAAAGTTGCTTTTGTTAAACATTAAATAGGCTTTCCTTAGTTTTCCTTTATTTCTTCTATATTTAAGAGAAGAAATATATGTTTTCTATATAGAAAACACTGCTTTAAAATTCATGCAGCTGAGCCAAACCTAAACTATTTACACATCCCTTTTTACTTTCCCCGAAAGTTTTTGGGTGCACTGAAAGACATATATTCTAGGAATGGCAATTTCTTGGGAGATAAGGCGGTGGAAAAAAATATATGTATTATTCATTGTTTCTACTAACAGTTTTAGAGCTTTAGCTCTTTAAATTTACAGTTATGAAAGCCAACCACAAAGAATCACCAGAATGCAGTAATCCATATGTAAGAAAGTCAAATGTGCCTATAAATAAAATCAGCAATCTGTAAATGATAAATCATCACACAGATCACTAAACAAATTATAATCAAAACAAAACTTTTGGATGCATTAATTTCAAATATGGAAGTGGGCCAGCTAAGCATGAACTAAAATGAGTACTTTTTTTTTTTGATACCAGGGATCGAACTCAGGTCCTCGTGCTTGCAAGGCAGGCAGCTGAACCACTGAGCTAAATCCCTGGCCCCTAAAATGAGAACTTCTGCAACTGATTTTACAGGAGTACTGAGGCATGCAACTCCTGCAGTGTGGAAAGTGCAATGCTTAATGAACAAAGCAAAGCTGGTCAAAGAAAAACAAGCAAAACATTCTGTTCTACGATATAAAACATAAGGGTAAAGAATAAACAGAATTTATTTTAAGGCTCTCTTGGAAATTTTTGCATGGCACTTCAATATTCAACATCATTAAAAGGCAAAAACATGTAAATATTCATAGTTACAGTTACATAACTCAAAGTAGATGCCATGTCAATTAAAGGATCATCTTGTCTGTTAAGTTTTGCTTTCTTGCAATTAAATTAATTTAAGAAAGCTGTTTATGTTGTAATCAACATAAATCATACAGAAATGTCAATTTACTAGTGTACAGTGCAAAGTGTTTTGAGTAGATATACCAAGTATCAGTCATTTCCTACAGAACTGATGTCATTTCCGTCCAGAAATGCAATTAACCAGATTTATTTCTCTCACAAGAGTACTTGTTACCCATTCTTCAACTATTCACCTACTGTTAAACCCCAATATCATTATTAGACAAATCCTTTTTTGGGCATGAGCACAGTCCATCCTCACAATAATTCCTTCAGTCCAGAAAATACTCTGATCTAACAAGTCATTCTTGCCACACCATACTCTAAGCTGACTACAGTAGGTTCTGATTTGGAAAACTCTTCTGCATAGTCACTGTAACGATTATCCGCTGGGTTGCTGCCCTCTATAGTTCGAAGTGCATCATTCACAGGTAGTAAAGTCTGCTCTTTAAAACATAGGGAGGTTTTGAGGACAGGTGATTCCGGATGAACTGAATTTAACAATTCCTTAGTAAGAACGTCTTCTGTTTGCTTATTTCTGTGCTGTTTAATTTTCTAAAACAAATAAAAATTTGAAAAAAATTACAACAGATACTTTAATATATACGTTGGGTGAAAAAATATACTTTTACATGAACGATGCAAAACCTCAAAAACTTAATAAAATCTAGTATACCTAAAGTAACTGCAAATTCTAATCATTTACAATTTTTGCAGCAGAAAATCCTTAGTTATGTTTTGATATTTATCAAACAATCCAGTTAGCCAGACTTGATTGAAAAAGGCTATTAGGCCTTCACATTTGAAAAAGATACACATGACCTACAAGTATGACAAATAAACATTTTATAAGGAAAGAAATATATTTGAGACATCTTGAAATCGTAACTATGTAACATAATAATCCCACTTATTTAGCTAAAGGTCTTGCTAATTGTAAAGAGCTTTTCTTACAGGATCTTCCTGTAATGGTTCATAGGAGAACCTAATAGGCTTTAGAACATGACAGAACTTCTTTTTAATAGAACAGAATATTTTAAAAGGGTGCTTTGGTAGAGTATCATGCTTTACAAAGCCTCTGGTTGATCTCTAGAAAACAATCTTAAACTACCCAGGTCTCAGGCTTGTCTTTCTTTTAACATGCTCTTCTACAAGTCACTCAAGCAGGCACTACACTTCCTTACCTAAGAGATGACAAGGGACATCTACCTGAGGAGCAGACAAAAACAGTCTCACTGGATTAAAACATCTCCCTGGGATCATATATATACATATAT